ATTGTCAATGTGGCCAAGTGCATGTTTGCAGGTCGGAGCTCCACTTCCTGGGACACACGGTCAACTCTTTGGGTAGCCGCCCTCTCAACATCAAGGTGCAAGCCATTCAAGAATTCCCGAAGCCCACAACAAAGAAGCAACTCTGGGAGTTTCTCGGCATGATAACCTCTTATCATTGTTTTCTCCCGGGTTGCGCCGAGAAGCTCCAGCCACTGCATCAGATGCTCTTGGATGCGAGTAATTCCACAACGGAGCTAATGTAAAACAAGGGTGCTACATCAGCATTTGACCGCGCCCGACAGCTGCTCGCTAACAGCACCATGCTTGCGCACCCGAAAAAAGTCGCCCCACTTTCTGTGGTCACCGACGCGTCAGATATCGCTGTCGGCGCAATGCTATAACAGAAAGTAAACGAAGAGTAGCAACCACTTGCTTTTTACTCTCGCAAGCTTACGCCCACCGAACAGCGGTACAACATCTTCGGCCGTGAACTACCCAGTGTGTACCTGGCTTTACGCCATTTCAGACATTTCGTGAAAGGTCGCCAATTTTTTTGTCTTGACAGACCACAAGTCCACGCCTTTAAATCTCTGAAACCCGATGGTGGCAGTCACTCCCAGAGGGGGCTTTGGCAAATTACCTGCATTTCCAAATACACTGCAGACATTCGTCACACCCAGGGCACCGACAACGCCATCACAGACACTTTCTCACGAATAGGCATTTGCACCGTTGATTCTCTGGCAGCCATCGACTTCGAAAGACTGGCAAAGGTACAACACGGTGATGCACAGCTGCGGGAATTCAAACTATCAGCCGGTATGCTCGTCTTCCAAGAGGCTCCCCTTCCCATGTATCCTGTGAACCTCATCTGCGACACTTCGACAGAATTTCCGCGCACATTTGTACCCGCAAAGTTTTGTTGCCGGATTTTTTACTTCCCTCAAGGATTGTCACATCCCGGCCACACAACACCCTTTAACATCCCATTTTGTGTGGCCTAATATCGACAAGGACGTATGCCAGTGGGCACACACCTGCTTACAGTGTCAACGCTCGAAGGTTCATGAACACACAGTAACACCACTGGGCTCCTTCGATCCGCCTGGCGCACATTGTCGAAATGCTGCCACAATCCCAGGGAAAAACCCATCTATTAGCGTGTGTCGATGTTACACACGCTGGCCAGAAGCAATTCTGTTGGCCGACATTACTGCAGACACAATGGCACGCGCAGACGTCGTGCACTGGATTTCAAGATGCGGCACACCCTCCACAATCACAACTGACAGGGGCCGCCAGTTCGAATCTAATCTCTTCTCCAGCACCATGACACTACTGGGGTAAAGAAGAATCTGAACGACCGTGTATCACCCCCCCAGCAACGGCATGGTGGAGCGTTTCCACCGCCAGCTCAAGGCGACTTTCAAAGCATGGAAGCGTCAAGACTGGATGGCGGTGCTGCCACTCTTGCTTCCCAGCATACGTACGCCACTTAAAAGTGACATTGGTTGCAACGTAGCTGAGCTGGTTTATTGAACCACGCTCTGGCTGCCAGGTGAATTTTTTTGTATTGACACCAGCCGATACCTGTTCGGACCCTGGGAGTTATGCCACCGAACTGCGAGAGGCTATGAAGCAGCTCCGCGTCACGGCACCTAGCCAAGCTGGAGGCCCATCCACTTTCATCATCAACGACTTGGCGACCGGCACTCGTGTCTTCTTGCGACATGCCTCCATGCGGAAGCCTCCTCAACCACCCACGATGGCCCGTACAGGGTGCAGCGAAGAATGTCAAAGACCATGACTTTGGGCGTTTGCGGACAGCAGGAGATTGTAACTTTGGATCAGGTGAAGCCAGCTCATTTAGACTTTGCTCCACCTGATCCATCCCTAAAGGTGGTGGATTTCGACCAGCCGGAAACGTTGTCAACGGCCGAGTCCACCTTGCAGAACCACCCATCGTTTCAATCTTCGATAGACTGTTCACACAGTTTCCTGGAAACCCCTGCAACACTGTCGAGACGACACGCTTACTGACCAGTGCGCTTCGAAAGCGAGGATCTTAAAACGCAAGCCACTACTTGCCGTTGTACATCACCCACAAATATTTCCCGAGCAGTCATGGGACGTTGCTGAAGAATCACACGTCTCCTCACTGGAGATGGGAGTTTGTAGCGGTGCGTTCCCAAAAGGACCGCCAGAGGTTTTTACCAGACGTGTTCATTTAAAGTTTATGAACACCGGGAAAACTGAGAGGCCATCGGTTTGAAAAGAAGGGGGAAGAGGAACTCGGGCACGAGAAAAACGAGGGGCCCGAGCTGAGAAGGAATGACCACATCCACAAGCTAAAGAGCTAATCAGCGCCGGTCCCAGGTTCAACTTTTGCGATTAAGTCAAATGTTTTAGTTACGTTCCTCGGCTGTTCTGTACAGTACTTGACCCATACGCATTGTGATCAGTCAGGGACGCTATAATGTAATGTGCAGGCTTCGTCTTTCAGGTGGATGTGTGTCAATAAGAGACACAGCCTGAACTGGCACAGCTCAGATGGCGTGTCCACATAATGCTGAGAATGTGCGTCAACAAGAGAGACAGCCCGAGCTGGCACCGCTCAGCAGGAGCATCCCCATAGTGCTGATAATGTGTGTGAACAAGACACACAACTCAAGCTGGCACAGCTCAAGCTGGCACAGCTCAAGCTGGCACAGCTCAGCAGGAGGTGCGGCCTGGCCAAGATCTCGGTGGCATGGTAACTTAATCCAGATTGAGAAGTAGATGTCTTTGGTGGCACCTCCAACACTGGCAATCTAGCAGTGCAACATTCGTGATGTCGTCACCTGTTGGAACCTATGGCAGTTCTGATCAAAACGTTTCTCTGCCAACCACACCTCCCAGCTGGGCTTCCACTCTTGGTTAAAGCGCCAACGGAACAGCTCGAGGCTTGTGGTACTTTGGTTTGGAGTTTGGCTTGAGCTCGACATGAACTTCGGGTCCTTTGCTTTCACCAAGTCCCGACTCGAAGACATTTGGAAATTCCTTCCCCAGTCCTTGCATCCGGGGCAGGGACTCGGATAGTTGATAAATTCCTTGAATCTTGATTCCCAGTGCTCAGAACCAGTACCTTCGCAACAGGCTTTAGCCCTGTCCTTTCACTACCAGCAGTGGTAACGTGTGCTCCTTTCCTTCGAATTTCACAGGAACGTTGACACTTCCAAGAACCGTCAGTTTTCGGTGAGAATATATCCCGAGAGTGATTTCTGTTGTTATCAGTTTCTTCTTTGTTAGTCCAAGGCGATGCATTCTCCTCGGATCGATGACTGAACAAGCTGCTCTGGAATATACTTCCATGCAGATGGGGATTCCATTTACTTGAACTTCGACTATCCCTGCCGGCTCAATGAAGTTTAGGCGATACTCCACCTTGGAAGCTTTGTCTAACTCCAGCTTATGGCTTGATCCCACTTTCGAAGCGCTGTTTTTGGACTTGGCCATCTTCTGGCGGCAGGCACATACAATGTGCCCTTTCTTGCCACAGAAATGGCAGTTACGTCGTGTGTACCACCGCAATGCCAACATTTGCCAACTGAGCTTGGACGTGTCTTAACCTTGGCAAGGTTGTTGTCTCGCGTCGATGAGCTGTTCGGCGCTTTATGCGAGATGTTTCTGTCGATGTAGCAAACTTCAGCCGCCTATGGGTTATGAAGGTCTCTTGCGTATATTTCTTCGCATACTCTGCCGCGATTGGAGGGTCCTAAGCCTTTGCGAAGGTGAGCTCTGGTTCGGCGAGAAGATGGCGCTGTACAGCTTCTTCGCTGACCTCGCATATCAAACGATCTCGAAGCATCTCATCCAAAAACGATGAATAGTCTCAGTGTTCAGCGAGGCGACGCAACTCCGCGATGTAGTTCGCCACGGACTCGCCTTGACGTTGGCAACGCTTGTTGAACGTAAATCGGTGAGCAATTACCTATGTTTTCGGTGCGAAGTGCTTCGTTAGAATGGCTACCAACTCTTCAAAAGGTATGTCACCTGGTGTCTTAGGAGAGCAGAGTGATCGAAGCAAGGCATATGTGGAAGGCCCACACACGCTGCAGAAGACGGCCCGCCTCACTAGGTTGTTCACAATCCTGTTCGCCAAAAGGAAGAACCCGAGTCACTCAATGTGTCAAACTCCTCCAGACGTCGAAGTGCCGGTCCTGGTTCGTTCTCTTTCGTTGCCATGCTCCTTGCGTTGTTTAGCCGCGTCGCCAAATGTTATGTTTGGAGGCCAACGCTGCATCACAGCAATCTCACGTATTTAATAAGGCAGAAAATATAGAATAGACTCGAACCGCAGCAGGTTGTACCAGCTGAGAGCCTTTGTTGTGTGCCATCTTCTGCCTCAACTACCTTTTCGACAGAGTTGACACCAGGCTTGGAAGTAGCAACAAAACGTGGCCTTAAGCTTGCAGCTCCTGTGCAGCTCTTCTAGAGTACACTCAGTTGTTTTCTGGAGTCGTTGTTTAGTTCAACAGGAAGCAGATCAGCTGACAATGGAAGCTAATCAGCTTCAATCGTCGGCTGTTTGCAAATAAGCTGTCTTTTTCAGCTTTGACTTGACATTTTGGACTAAAAAAGTAAATTGTTGTGCTATTTTTTTTTTTTTTTTTAACTACATGATTAAAAACAGTGCAAAAGGATGGGACAAAAGTAGGTGCACACAGGACGGACACTGTATGTTCCACGGCTCCATTTCACGCAGTGTAATGCGGCTGTGTTAGGACTTGACAGTTCTATCGAAAAAAGTTTTTGAGGCTATTACTCACAAGTGCTGGCCGGCCGTCGGAAACAACAAACAAAACCTGGCAGCCCGTGATTGCAAACGTCACTGTGATTAGCAAACGTCACCCACACGCAACCCCACATTGTAATAGTTTTAGCTGTAATAATAATTACAAGGCCAATACTTCGAAGTCTACGTGTCAAAGGTTCACAGAATAAAAAAAAAAATGCATTACCTGCAGTGGAATCTTTCTCACTTTGGTTCACCAAACGCGCAGCGTTTCAGATTGCCGGCTCACTAACGTAGCGTCGATCAGTGAAAGTAAACAATGCAACTTCTCATTGCGGAGAGAAAAACGTGGTCCCTAGCGTTCGCACAGTTCGCGACCAAGAAAACCGCCATAGAAGAGCATCATGGGTACGTGTGACGTATCACCGGCGACTAGAGAAAACTTCGGCGCGCAATTTGGTGACGTCACGACCAATAGGAGCACGGAAACAGACGCGGTCCCCTCAACGCCCGGAGAAACATCGTGCCTGACGAACCGTCGTCGAACGAGAGGTGAGTGGTTTGAGTTTTCCTGTGATGTGATCTCTATGTGTGTTCGTTCCACGCGTCCGAGCTGTTTCTTCGTTTCAGATCTATTTGGCGCCGCTGCCTACATTGTTTGAGCCTGCGTTCACAATTAAAACAACCATCGCAGAAAGCTGAAAGCCCGCCGAAGAACGGCTAACTTGCGAGCTAAACCTAATTCAACAAAACCATTTGATCCGACAAAATAATGTGCTTGATCTTACATTTCATGTCAACAAAGAACTGCGCTGTCTGTCTTCGTCCCTACATGTTTTATTCTTTCGTGTTTTTCAAATCTTTACCAACCCGCGTCCAATCGAATGCCCCGATCACAAAAAATAGTTGGTCGTGCTCCGGTGGCCCTTATCATCAGCCGGTAAGGCAGTTACGTTTATCGTTTCTATATTTTGACCCAAGTAACGTCATATTCTCAAACTGTGAAATTCTATCACCACCTCTAGTTTCACATTCTGGTGCACCGTGCACTTGCAGCTTCCTGCACCCCTGCGAGGTTTCCTGCGATCGTACCTTGTATATTATGGATTTCTCGCCGCACGCGAGTGCTCTCGAAGGCGTGCTGTACACTCTGTAACATAGGTTGTGTGCAGAAAAGGCACAAGCCCGAGCACAAAAGCGCCCTTTTTGCACGAGCAGCCGTGCAAAAAGAACATTCTGCGAAGCTACGCCCTCGCACCCGTGCCTCTGCTGCACACAACTTATTAATAACCGAGCCGTTCTCGTTTTTGTTTTGCATATTACTGGTCGCGACTCAACACCGTTTCTTTTGAAGCTGATGGGCACCACAAGGCGTGAAAGAGGTGACTTGCAGCTTTGCCAAGGCAGCAGCAAGACACTACAAGCCTTCGCATTAACTGGCTAGCCAGTGGCGCTCTGTTCTGAACAGCACTGCGTGCCATGCAGAGGGTTTGTGCAAGCTTGCTGGGTGGCGACGCTAGCCACGGTAAGTGCATCCTATGCAGCTTTCTTTTAGGGATATATGTGGCTTGTAGGCCATGTCGTGCATGTGCCACCCAAGGGACAGCAGTGCCAGTGGCAAGGCTGTGCTGATGGTAATCACCACTGCACTGTGTTTTCATTCAATAACTACTGAAAAGGAACCTAGTACTTCCGAGAGATTCTCGGTTGTGCTTTGATGAACTCCAGCTCGCTTACGGACTTGATGTCTGTGTTAACAATGTAACGAGAATTCTTTTTAGTTTGGGGCGTTGTTTCTGCTGCGGATGACTAGCATTGCAGTAGAGAAATATGCAAAATAGTGTAATGCTTGCATTAGTTACCTAAATTGATGGCGGGAATAACTCACCTACATTTCCACCGACTGCATTTCTCAGAGGAATAGCCTGGACTAGATAGCTCGCTGCACTATGACCTTCCTCCTTAGCCTGTACAACTCGGCGTCTTTTCCTGATTGTCTTATGTGGCTGCTTCTGTTTGCCTAGGCACTCGGTTGAAATAGTGAAAGCTGTCTGCATCGCACATAACTGCCATGAAAGCCAGTGTGGACGTAGCTGGGGTAGCCCCCAATATGGCTTCTCTAGCTCGACACAAGTAATGTTCCTACCACTGTCGTGTATAATGCCAATCCAAGATTGAAATATACTTGTGCTTTTCATTGCCGTGACGTCACGCAGGAACATAGCCAGGATTTTGTTTTGGGGGCGGGGGGCGGCAGCGGCGGGCCGGGCGGGGCCGGGCTCCATGAACCCCTTCTAGTTACGTCCTTGCGTCGCGGGATGACAGGCTCACGGTTCGAGCGGCTGTGTAGAAATGAACTATGCCGAGCATTTGTTTCGTGCTGCTGGATGGGATTTGGGGCGACCTTCCAAAGCATTCTTTTGACACAATGAAACTGTTTGTGATCAGTTGTGAACAAAGTCTACAGCCCTAAGAGTGAACCTTTGCCTTCCCATGACGTCTCAATTTCAATGTTGCCGGTAGAGCTTTCCACTTTGAAAAACAGAATGGTGACCAAAATTGTAAATTCTGTAACTTTGCGAAAAAAAGCTATTTCGGCCAGATATTTCGGTTACTATTTCAGCGATGTTTGTTGATGTGCTTAGCAAGTTCTTAGGCAAATCGGGGACAATGAAGAAAATGCCGGAGTACCCCTTTAAAACATGGAGTGCACGTAGTACACAATGGAGAAGTTGCTCGCCAATCATTCTCTTAGAAGTGTGACTTGACCCCTTCGAGGCAGTTTACTGCCGCAGCGTGCACTTTAATCCGCCCGAGAAGAGAAAACGAGATGAATGACGAGTAGGATATCTTTGTTTCAAGGCTTGTTGAGACAGGAAAGGCCAGGGAACCAGTATTGTTGCTTCTTACTACCCGGTACGAGACTCAAGCCCGACATGTAAGGAAGTCGAAAGGCCTCTTCATGTGCCCTCTTTCTGCTTCCTTGTGCCTCGAGTTTTAGCTGTGTCTACAATTCATGCTCGCCTGCATGCCTACTCTTTTGGTCTCTTTTTTGTTCACTGTGTTACTGAAGTTTTCTGTCGTTGCTGTCCCAGAAATGCTTTGTGGATGCACAGAAATACAAGGTGCTCGACGCCTGCGGCTAATTGGTATTGCTTTTCCCAGTACCACGGCATGAAGGAGGTGGCCCCTCTCCCTTCCAAGCAGCTGCGATATACTACAAGCACTGGGTTACAACTGCAGCTAGCCCATGGGTACCGTTCTGCATCCTGCACTGCATGTAGTTCCGAGAGCCATGTGAAAAGGCAGGTGTGACCTTTTTAGGCACTGTCACTTTGTTTTGTGCATTTTCTGCCGCTTTTTCGGGGCAACTTCTTTTTAAGATTCAAATATTAGAAAACGGACTCCAGTGAGAGAGGGGGTTTTCTGAGAAGACTGGCTTCTTTGCTAAACCATTGGGACTGGTATTATATCTATAGAGTTCATGTACACCTTACGTTATGTACTTTTTCTTTAGTTTTATTTTACTTGGTACTTATACTTCGATGTTACACGACAGCCACTAAATGAAGAAAAAACAAAAAAAATGTTGACTTGTCGTTTTTTTTTTTGTTTTTTTGCAATATGTTGGAAGAGTCAATGATCTGGTCGGTCATTCATATTATTTTTCCTACACGCATGTCCAGCCTATGTTTACATAAAGCCCCAATTGCCCCTTAGCAACGGAAATAATCTGTGCGACAGACTAGGTGGCAGCATTGTGGACGGAAACTGGCCCGATTATATCTGCCATGTTTAGAAACTACATTTGATGTCAGGTTATGAATTCAGTGGCAAATTCCCCCCAAAAGAATCTACATCACTCTGCCAGCCAATCGCTGCCGTCAGTTGTCGTGACGTCACATCCAGCAAAGAAACTGCAAACTAGTATATTTTTTTTTTAATGGCAGGCCTCTGCTGTTGATGCGACATAGCACGTCAACACTCAAGCAGTTCTTCCGCTCTTGACCTCTCCGGTTTCACCTTACGAAGTTGTGACGGTGTCTGCTTTTGTTTGCGGTATTTCCCATGTGTCGACGTGAGAAGGCAGCGGTTGTATCGCCAAGTAGCAATCAATCTGTGCATTTGCTCCAGCGGCACAGTGTTACAAACAGGACTCTTTCACCAAGGGCAAAGTCTAACGACTGACCCTACAGTTGCCAGCATCATGCAGCCGTGAATGCGTAACTTGTCCGAACGCTTTTATGCTTTCGTCTGTGTACAGTGACAAAATGACTCGCTGAATGCGAAATGCCGTACAGCAAACTACAGTAGAGTCTCACTCATTCAAACTCCAGGAAGTCACAGATTTTAGTTTGAATTATCAGAAATTCATCCAAATATGATACTGGACAGCATTATGATTTGTTACATGGATAGCTACTCATACAAAGCAGATTTTTGCCAGTTTCCTCTACATAGGCCTAATTATAAGCAAGTACAGGCATAACACATTAGTGAAAGAGCTGTGACATTGAGTTTGTTCATCCGGCAAAAAATTTGTCGATTGTGGACTGTTTAGTCAGCACATACAATCTCAAAATTTTCAATACCAGCCAATGCAAGTAGCTCTTTACGGGACTCTTCCTTTGCAGACAGAAACTTCCGGAGCTGAGCGATGTGCTCAAAGCTATGGCTGTGACAGTTGGTAGCAAGTCATCCCTTTCTTCATTGTCATCTTCACTCTCACTGCTGCACTGTGCTGGCATTACTTCCTGTACTATGTCCTCTAATGAGTCATCACGACAAACACACACATCATCGTCAAGACTAGCATATTCCGCCTGCTCGGCGTTCACATTATGTGCTTCAAGGCCAGAAAGCATGATGCCAGTGAGCTGGTCTTCATCCTCGATGTCGTCTTGGTCATCATTGCTAGTCTTGAAGCACATAATGTGAACGCTGTTTTCTGCTAATGTGTGCCCGCTTGAGCCCCGTTGAGTGTGCTTCTTTATGAGCACCGGTGCACTGCGGAGAAAGAACACTCATGAAAGCACGCTCCGCAGGTATTGCTTCTCTGCGGTGCACCGGTGCTCGGAGGGAAGCATACTCAACAGGGCTGCGAGTACAAAAGTATGAATTAAAGGAGTCATGAAACGCTTTTCCAACTTTTTCCTGTTTAGCTTTCCTCTTCAACTCATAAATCGCGCATTCTACCAAACAGTTAAAGAAGATGGAAACGGGGCAGTCCCCTCTTGCTCGGACTCTCGTTTGAGACACAGTCATTGTCCCCCTAAAAGATTAGCCCGTCGCTCAAAATTCAGACAAAAGTTGCTTTCCCCACCTCAATCACCCCAAAGCTGACAGTGCTGCGGAAGCTACGTGCTCGTTGGGCCAGCCACATTTTTGCCACGTGATCACGCTCTCTCGCGCATAC